CCTAAACAGGACGTGCAGGCAAGCAGCCGCCTGAGTGATAGTGGCCAGGACCTCTTGCTCAGAGCCCGACGCTGTGACGCTATCGTCATCAACATACGACGACAAATCGACGCTGGGGTTGTCTTCAACAAACTTGTCAAAGGCTTCAATGCTGTAAACTCGAAGCATAGTATCATTGAAGATATCCCCCGCGGGAAGACCAGACCTGGCGAAATAAGGCCGGGCCCCGTAGTGGGCCCCCAAACGAAGCAAACTGGGGCCCCTCCAATAGTTGAACGTCGTTTTAACAATGACCTCGTTGATACCGCAACGTAACGCTCTATCCTTGAGAAGGGCTAAGTCAAATGACTCATAGTACTTCGTCCCATCCCATATGATACCCCCCGTTTCCTGAGACTCGAAGTGGGCCATCTCGGCCTGGACGGCCTGGTGCCACGCGGCACTCTCAGCGCTGCGGCCAGGGCCCAACGCCCAGTAACTGCGAGGGTAGTTCGTGTTGAAATCCACAATCAGAGGTCTCCGTAAACGTTCCCAGACACGGACGGGGCCGGCGCACAGCAAAATGGGTCGCAGGCCCCTTTTGGGTTTTTCCAACAGAGGGAAAAACAGCCAGAACAGTTGTTTGGGAAAGAGGCCCAGGGACTCGATCGCTTGGATTAAGGCCCAAACGTGTCAAGGGCATCGTCCGAAACCAACGCGAGCTGTCTCGGGTGCAGTCCGTCGAGGGACTGCGAAGTCAGGTGCGAAAAATTGCTGGACGCGCTTCTAATCTCGGCCGCCATCGGCCTAGGGAGGTGCGCCCGATCAGGAACACGCACCTCGGGCGGCATGTGCGACGCGTGCCAAAACTCGGACAGGGAGTTGCCTTTAGCCTCAAGCAGCTCTTGATGGGGAGTTAGAAAAACAACCAGGATGGTTTTGCACGACGGTCGGGGCCCACCTCTGCGTGAGTTTCGTGAGCCTGTGCATGGCCCTCGCTCCCCCAGAAAGAGCTTTCTCCTGCCATTGATCCCAACTATCCTGCTGAACCCTGCCTCTTGAGAGCCCAGGTCGTCGTCCCAAGACGACAGAAACTCCTGACACTGCTCAATCCAGCTGTCGAGGCCGTCATCGAGCGTAAAAGAACGAGCCAAAGTGCGCGCCTGGGCGAGGGTCGCGTCGAGTCTAACATTCTGCCCCTCACCAGGACATGGTAACGTAAGAAGCTGTTGGATCTGGTGGCTCGCATCCTCGGACAAACACTGAAACTGAGCTTGGTCCGTGGGGTCGGGTTCCTGGGCCGCCCTTCGAAATCGAGCTGACACCCCAATGGTTTCAGATAAATGTTGGGCCAGCCAGATCCACCCGACGTGCTGCTCACGGAGTCTACAGGCCTTGGGTTTAGCAAACATCGGGACCCACCGAGCTCTCAAGAGGTCCCCTTTGTGTCCTTTGCTTTTAACCTCCACTCCCGTGAAAGCCTCGAGCTCAAGCTCGAGCGTGTTGGAAACATACTTCCAGGCAACAGTGAGAAGCTCCCATGCCTCGCTGATGGGGCGAGTGAGAGCCGCAGCAGCAGCGTCCTCAGCAATGATACGGCTGAGGGTCCAGTCCTGGGGTCTGGGGGTCGGCCCGAACGGCAGCTCCGTCGGGGGTCTTTGGTGCGACCGATACATCAGCTGATGGCACCGAGCGGCATCGCAACGCAACGCGAGGCACACGGGCCTGTGAGGGCGATGAGTCCAGGACATGTCAGCCTCAACCTAATCACAGGCGCGTGCAAAGCACGTGCTCGCTAAAAAGTAGTCGATCGTGGTGAGGCTTCCTGGGGACAAACAGGTCTTCTGCGTTCGCACAAAAAGGGCACCTTCAACTCGACGGGGGAGTCCCGTGGAGTCAACCAGATGGGGGTCGAGGTTCCAGTCCCCCCCCCACAACGCACATATGTTTCCCCGTGGGCCTCTCTCCTAATTGCCTCAGAAGGGAGAGATTGAACGCACACAACCCCGTCCCCGACTTAGTAGCACGAAAACACGTGCAGGGGCGGCCATCCAGGCAAGTCGACAATCACATGGATGATACGCCCCTTGGCAACGATCCCAGGAGCATCCGACGGCCATCGCAGGCCAATGTGCGCGCGGACGAAAACTCCGACTCCCGCTCGAGGCCTCCCAGATTCACCAGCAGGGGAGGGGGAGCACAGCATTTTCCACCCCAAGCAGGCCGTTGAGGCCGCTCTTTCACCCTCACGCTCCTCGAGGGTCCCGATCTCCTGCGCCAGCAGGACGAGCGCCGACGTCGAGCACAGCCTCTCACGCAAAGTCGGCCAGCAATTGCCATTGTAGGTCTCGAAGCTTTCGCCCAAGCCAGCACGCGAGGACGAGTCGAGCGAGTCGGGGGGAGGCGGAGGTGGAGCAGGAACTCCGAATTTAGACATAGGCAAGCCGCAACACCGCGGGAGCACAGGGCTACCCCACGCGCGGCTTCTTGCACAACCTGCTACCGAACTTATCAATGAACTCACGCTTGTCAATCCGCATGGCTGCATTGAAAATCTCCTCGATAATGTCTTCGTCGAGGTCCTCATCATGCTCAAAACCTGGTGTCGGCTGTTGTTGTGCCTCAGCCGCACCATCTCCACTGGCGACCGATGCATCACTAGGAGCCCCATGACCAGGCACCCCAGCATCTTCGGACTTGAAAGGCGATGGCCGTTGCCGTAGGTGATGCCTTCGCCTGGGAGGCCGCCAGCAGCTCCGCGAACTTCTTGAACGTCTCGGACTGGAGCATTTCCTTGATTTGTGCTTGCTCACTCGACGCAGCCAGCATCTCAGGATCGACCTCCAAATCCACGACAGGCATGCCAGGCAACGTTCGAATGAGGTCCCGATTGAGGAGCTCGATCTCACGGTCCGTAGCTGCAACTTGTGCCCGCATGCCATCGATCTTTTCTTGCGCACTCGCGATGAAGCGTAGTTGCTCCTCGATCTGGTGCTCAAGTCTCTGCTTTTTACCTTTAGCACTTGCCAAACGGTGACCCACATTACCGTGCTGAGTGAGCTGGGGCTTGGTCTGATGCAATTCACGACGTACGGCCTCCAGCTCGACCTCGAGCTCAGCCTTGGCACCTTTGCCCGACTCACCCAGCTTCTCACAGTGCGAAATGGCCACCTCGAGCTGCTTGATGCTGTCTCGCAGCTCCTGCTCCTTGGAATCCTTGGGCGGTTCCTTAGCAGAGTGGCTGGCAACAGGAGCTGGGGATAGGTTCCCTCCTCCTGCCAATTTGTCAAACCTGCGCTGGAGCTCGTCCAGCCTCTTCTGGAGTTTGTCGTCACGACCACCCCCACCGCCACGAGGTAGACCAGCACGCTGACGATGCTGCTGGCCGCGCGCATAAAGCTCGGCTGCACGGCGCACCTCAAGCGGTGCCTTCTTCCCACATCTGCAAATGATCCTGGACGCCCAGTTGGTGTTGCGACCACATGAGCACGCCCAGGTAGGCGCCCTTGGCCCAGGGAGGACCTCCGCGCCGCCTCCATCGGTCATGAGAGCCCGTAGGCTTGGATGAAAGTGTGGGTTGAGATCCCACAAAGTGAAGGTTGGAAACGGGGCTCGCAGCAGCGACTGCCGCTCTGAAGACTGCTGCTGCAAGCTCAGGAATCAACACCTGAGCCAGGACGGCTGAGGAGGAGGAAAGGAGGAGGAGGAGGAGGAGGAGGAGGAGGAGGAGGAGGAGGAGGAGGAGGGGAGAGGGATGAGAGTCAGAAGGAGCATGAAGAGGACGACGACGAGAAGAGGGAGGCATGTGCTGCTCATCCATCTCTTCTGTGCTCCTCCTCCGAGTTGGACGTCTGATACCCCGGTGCTTTCCGGTGTGGTGCTGCCGGTGAATGGGCGACGACGATCTCGCATCTTTCCCTCCTGCTTCGAGCAACGAGTGTTTGCATAAACAAAGACTTGCAGAGGTCCCCGCTGATTTCTTGCATCGGCGTTGGGCCCTTCCTGGCGGCGCTGCCCCTGATGCGCCCCGCGCGCAAGGTTGGGGGGGGTCCAGCGCCGATCCAAGGCATCCTTCATGCTTAGGCCGCTGTCCCTTCCTGTTCCTCCTCCCTGCACAGAGGGGAGGGTCGTTCAGGTCTGGGACCAGGATGAATCTTTCCAGGGCGTGGCGGGACGTCCTCGGAGCGTTCCAGGGTGCTCTGGAACCGCCCCTGGCGCCTGCGCGTGTCCACCAGAGAACCGCCGTAATCTCGGAGATCCCTTCGAATTGTCCTTGTCCGATGCTGTCCCCGTCCTTGCTTCGCCTTGGTCCAGGCATCCCACATGGGGTCGAGCCAGATGTTATTGGATCGTGCCGCATCGCCGATGCATCGACGATGCGGTTCGCTGTGGAGCTCGGTTGTCGACGCCGAAGGTGCCGATGCATCGCCGACGCTGACGATGCATTGGCGATGCACCGACGATGCGGCACGATCCTCCGACCCCATCCACTGGGACCCCCATGTGGAGGCCTTCACTTCGGTTGAGATTTGAATCCATCTCCACTGCGGCTTGGAGTTTTCAGGTTCCTCTCCACAGAAGCCATAAAAGTCTGGCCCCTGGGGACTCTGGATTTTTATGCACTTCCACTGCGCCTCGGCCTTGTGGCGCCCCTTCCTAGCAAGTCCAAGACGCAGTGCACATGAATATTTCTCATTCGGTGGTCGACAAACCTCCCTTTACCAAACCACCCTGTGGTAAAAACGGCCCAGAACCGAAACCGACGGACCTGGACCCGCAAAAGTGACGGCCGCGGCGCCCTCTCGCGAACCCCGCAAACGGCCAATTCGCTGATCGACGTGTCAGGGTAGGAGGTCTATTAACCTCCGAATCTTGCCCGCATCCACCTCTGGGGGCGGGGGGGGCCCAACAGACTTCCAGAAGGACTCCCAGGAAGGCCTAGAAATGTAATATTTATGTTGACTTTCGCAAGGTTGGCTGCTAGATCTTGTTATGTCGTACCGAAGCCTTAACACCAACAGCCGGTGGCCCGCGCCAGGCACGCGCGGGCGGACGAGGCGCTCCGGGACCTCGTTCTCGTGAGCGGCGCACTGGCGTCGGGCGGCGAGGACGCGGCCCGCGCCGAGGCGCGGGCGTCGGCGTCGTCGGCGTCGTCGTCACACAGGGGGGCCCGGGCAGCAGCGGCCCTCCCTGGCGTCGGGCGCTGCGTCATGGGGGGGGGGGTCGGTCAACCTCCTCCTCCTCCTCCTCCTCCTCCTCCTTCGCCTCCTCCTCCTCTTCCTCCTCCTCCGCCTCCTCCTCCTTCTCCTCCTCATCCTCCTCCCCCTCCTTCTTCTCCTCCTCCTCCTCTTCCTCCTCCTCCTTCTCCTCCTCCTCATCCTCATCCTCGGTGGGGGTGGGGGGGCGAAGCAAAAGTGCACCTTCCTTGCACCACAGGTGCCCTAGTGGGGCCCCGCGAGGTGCAACAGGGGCGCGAGAGGTGCTCGTTTCTCGCCTCCCCACATCTCGCCTCCCCACGTAACAACGCCTACTGGCGGCCCGTGCCCACCAGTCAGTGGCAACCACAGGGGGGCATGCGGAAAGTGTCGCCGCGTTTTCGTAGTCTTTCTGTCGGGGTGTTCTTCGGTAGCTGCACCTCGCCGAGAACTTTCCGGGTGTGCCCAGATCGTCCCGGCCAGCCTACAGGGACCCGACTTGTGGCCCAGAAGCAGAGCGCCGAGGACCACGTCGGAGGGGGGGGGGGCGTCGAGGCAAGCCCCTCCCTGGCGTTGCTCGTTGTTGTTGGGCCTCCTGGGCACTTCTTGCCGCCACGGCTGGTTCCCTCTTTAGAAAAGGGTCAGGACGGACCCCAGGAGGGGCCAGGGGAGGATGTTCGGCGGATTTGGGCGGGATAGCGGCCGTTGTCTCAACTGGCCCTCCCAGCGTCGCCATCTTCGTCGTCGTCGTCGGCGGCGTCGCCGCCGGCTAGCGTCTGCGGCGCCGTCGGCGACGACGAGGAAGTAGAGAGGATAAGTGAGGAGGAGGAGGAGGAGGAGGAGGACGCGGACGAGTTGGAGGATGAGGATGGAACATTGATAACAAGGAAGCTGGGCGCAGGAGGGAAGAGGAGGCGGAGCACGAGGAGGAAGAGGACAGGCAGAAGCCAGGCGCGTACACGGCGTATTGGCAAACCATTTCGTTTCAATGTTTTGGAACGTTTTTTGTTGTTTCCACAAAGAGCCAGGCCTCAGTGTAACGGTGTATTGGGCAAGCTGATTATTTGACCCCGGTGTGAGGGATAGGAGGAGGGATTCGGACGGGGCATCTGTTAGTTAGTTGCAGTGTGGAAGGAGATAATCGCGACGGAGAGAGAGGGAGAAATAGAGAGAGGGAGAGAGTGACATAGATAGAGAGAGAGAGACAGAAAGAGAGAGAGAGAGAGAGAACGCACATAACAAAACAAACATGGAAGAGAGGGATGGGAGGCAGGAGGGATGAGGGGGCAGGTGACGGCAGACGGGAATGAGGAGTCGGCGGAGGAGGAACCGCAGCTGACGGACGAGGAATTGCAGCCTGAGCTGGTGGGCGCTAAGTACAGAAGGAGGAGGAGGAGGAGGAGGAGGAGGAGGAGGAGGAGGAGGTGGTGGGACAGGAGGCCCCCGCGACCCCCTGCGCGCTCGCTGCGCTTCTTGGGCGGTGCCTGTCACTGTCTGCGTGCGTGGTTGGACCCCGTCTTTCCGACTCACCACCGCCCATCACTGACGACGACGACAACGACGACGACGACGACGACGACGACGACGACGACGACGGCGGCGGCGGCTGCGGCAGCGACGACGACGACGACGACGACGACGACGACGACGACGACGACGACCCCCCTGGTCGGGGGACTCTCCCATACCCGGCGTCCGGACTCCCCCCTCTCATGCAGCCTGCCGCAAGCAGACCCCCCAACCCCTCGAATCAGACCCCCGCTGCTGCGTGCGGAATGTGACGTCGGTGTGCTCGCGCCTTCGCCCGCAAGCCGCGCCCCTCGGGTTGCGCCGCGGCGTCCGTCGGGGCTCGACGAAGCAGCCGGTGGGGTGGCGCCCTGGGAGGGGGGTCGTGGCCGGTCCCTTGCCTCTCTCGGGGGAACGTAAGACTCGAGTTCGCTGGAGCTCGGGTTTACCTGTATTTCTTTTGACGGGCCCGTCCTAGATGTGGACGGATCAGTTTTCGTGGGATGCTTGCAGCGGGCGTTCGCGTCACATTTCAAATTTGGTATCGTCATTTTCCCTGACGTCCCCGTTAGTCCAACCCTAGCCCCCCTAACCCGAGTCTTACGTCTCCCCGACCCTCCCGGTCGTCGCCGTCGAGGATTGAGGTGTTGATGTCTCGAGATTGGCGCTTTCTGGATGTTTGCACCCAGGAATACAGGGATCACCCCAGGAGAGGCTGGAGGAGGGTCGATTCGGGCCATGGCGCGGAGGCCCCCAGCGTCACGAATCTGCGACCCCTTGCGAATCCTGCCCCTGAGGGTCCAATCGACGCTGAGGTGTCGGACACCCCCGCGGGGGCTCTCTTGGCTGCAGACCTCCTTCAGAAATTCTGACACCCAGCTGGTGTCTTAGAGATCTTACCTGCTGGGGTAGGGTTCACGAATGTCAGGAGGGACAAAAACACGCATAATGAATCGTCGATCCCCAAGAAAATATAGCAAAATATGGGAAGTGGGGGGGAAGACAAGTTCCCAGAAAATATGGGAACATATGGGGAGTATTGTTATTTGTGTCTATTGATTTGTGTGTCCCAGGGCCCCTTCAGCATGGTTCCCTGACAGCAGACGACAAACACTCGGTGACCGATTTTGACATCAGTGTTTTGGCCTCCTGCTGAACCGTTCCGGGACCGGGCACCAACAGAAAAACAATCCAGGATGAAAAACAAATTGCCCCCAAGAGATGGGGCTGCGAGGTGTTCTCGGACGTGCACGCCTCGAGAAAGTCGCGGCGTCGGATGTGTGTGTCGCCCCGGGGTTGCGGAGAGAGTCGCGCTTCTTGCGTCGCGGCCGGAGCCGTTGCGTTGCCCTTATCCAGGGGGCGCGACGCGCAAAGCCAGGCCACCGTGGATATCTGAGCCCATCCTGCCCCGTCCTCATTTGCCCGCTTGGCCTTTCGAATCGACGGCGGTGTGTGTTCCTCTTTGGCGTCTCGCCTCCCTGGTATTTGGGTGCCGGCATCGCCGCAGTGTTGGAGCGAGGTGTTGCAACCTCCAGTTTGTGAGGCCTCTTCTCGTCAGCGTGATTCCAATCCACAACGAATGCCTCTTGACTCGGACGGGCTATGCGACTCGTTATCTACTCTTTCTTCATTTCTCCCCTCTTGTTTGGTTTCTCTCTCTTTCTCCCTTCTTTTTTCTCTTTCTCTCTCTCTCTCTCTTTCTCAGTGCTGCGTCGGTCCATCAAGAAACAACATTCGAGGCTGTATTGACTACCGAAGCCCGTCTTGTCCTTCTGAGCTACCAGTTCGGCTTGGTAAGGGTGTGGTCCACTGTGCGGGGCGTTCGTTCTATATCAATTTGTTTGCACTTCCGCCATTCTGCTGCACCAGCTCCCGTCCGCCCACTAATTATGTCATAGCAGCTCTCTGCAAGGCCCCGCCACAGCTCACCCTCCCCCGCTCGCTCCCTTGCCAATTTCCTCTCTCCTGTTCTCCACGCGTCTTCCGCCATCGCCTCCCCTGCCCTCCTCCCTCTCCCCATGCCTCCGTGCCCCCTCGATGCCCCTCCGCCGCCCCATCCGCGAGGCGCGCCGGCTCTACGAGGCGGCGATGAGGAGCCCCGCGGCCGAAGAAACAGCGCCCCCTTGGACTCCTGGCCTGTTGCAGGGGGGGAGGCTCTGTCGGAGGCTCTGTGGGGTGGGGGGGGGGGAATTGGGCGGGGGGGGGGGGGGGGGCAAAATCCGCTGCATGCAGCGCAACTCCGCCCCGCCGCCGTGCCCACGCCTCGATGCAGGGGCGCTTCTCGGCGTCGGGAGGCCCAGGGAAGGCCAGCCACGTGAGCTGACTCTCTGCCCTGCTCTTGGCTATCCCGATTGCTCCTTCGCCCCCCTCCCCGCTTTGGGTGCACTGGCGGCTGGAGATTTTCGCACTGCGTGGGACGCCGCCTAAATAATCAGCGCTGGAGGCACGGCATCATTGCGTCCCCCGATTTGAGGCACCCCTCTTCGAGCTTTCTGTCTCTTCTATCCAAGGGTGCCCAAGCATCTTGGCGCTCTGGATGCCTTTCATCCTTACAAGTCATCCCTATGACTGGTTTTGACTGAGTGTGAGTGTGAGTGCGATGGGGATCCGCGTGGCAGGAGACTTCCTCTACAGACATACGGCGGCTCGACCTTTTGAGAAAGTGCCCCCCCAGACCCCTCGACTTTTTCCCCGGAGCCGTCGCTGCGTCCTGGACGGTCCCGCGGCTAACAGAGGCCAGGAGTGGTTATTAGCAGGTCGTTGCGACTTTTTCGAGACGCCACACGTCAAAGTCCAGCAACCGGGAGGACAACGCTTCCCAGTCGGAATGCACATGGTACGCGCTATGCTCGCCAGAGAGCGACCAGTGCCTACCAGCGGTGAGGCAGCGGATTTTGGCTTTGGGTGCCCTTGCTGCTCTTCCTCGTCGTCATTTTCTTCTTTCCCTCCCTGCACCCCCTCCTCCTCCCTCGTGCTCCCTTCTGTTTTCTTACTCCTCCTTCCGCATCGCACGCAGCAGACTTGCCCGCCTCACAGATCTCATCTAACTCATCCTTCCACATCGCACGCAGCAGACCTACCCGCCTCATCGATATCATCGAGCGGAGGCTTCATGGGCAACCCATCTGAGCTCAAGACCTTCATGTAGACCACCACGTAGCAGTGCTGCACAAGTGGGCGAAAAACAGCATCCGGATCCCCTTACAACGATCATTTTCTGGAGGTTCACACCGTTCGGCGCGAGAGTGGGTGCCTTCACAGATGAAATCTACAAGGCTGTCATCTTGCTTGCGGGCCTGAGAGTGCCGAACTACAGTGTGCGCCTTAGCAAAAACAGTGACATGTACCTGAACCAGGTCCCTGCGGCATGAGCGCATGGGCATCTTTGTTCCAGGCAGGAGGTGCCGGCGCTCCGTTCCAAGTGGTCGATAATTCGAAGCGAGCGTTGGCATCTAGCATTTGTGATGGTGCCGGAGTGCAGCGCGAGTTTGTGGGTGGGGTACTCGGGCGACTTGTTCGACGCGGTGATCGACAGCGCGAGCGAGCTCCACTGAACAGAGGATAGGCATTCTTCAAGGGATTATGGCGTTCGGCTTCGCCTGCGTAAGATGTTGAAGCGGCGGGTGCCCATCTCCTTGATCAGAGGTGCAGCGGTCCTGGGCTGCCAGTAGGCGTCGTTTGTTGCCAGGCTGAGGTGGACATGCAGTTGTGCTCCTCCCGTGAGTGAGGAAGCTTCGATCGATGATGGGAAGCAGAGTCCGTTAGTACCTTGGAGCGGGATCGAGGTTGCTCGTGGACATCCCGGGATTCGCGTCGATTGTGGAGGCTGGTCCTTTTCGCGTCGGCGGCGACTTCGCAGCGGCTGGAAGCGTGGCAGGCATTTGCGAGGCAGCCGCTCAACCACTCCCACTCACAGTCCGTCTTCTTTGGGTAGACGAGGTGGGAAACCCTTGCTGGATTCCGGCGTCTTCCGACCTGCTATCTACGGGGTCGCTGAATCATGACCCTGGCATTCGGGGGTGGACAGACCTCCTACCCTGACACGTCGATTAGCGAATTGGTCGTCTTCGGTTCGCGAGAGGGCGTCTCGGCCGTCATTTTTGCCGGTCCAGGTCCGTCGGTTTCGGTCCCAGGCCGTTTTCACTAAATAGAGGTTTACTAAAGGGAGGTTTGTCCACCGCCGAGGCATCGATCCTTGGGCCAGACAGCTACGCCACGTCTTGGAGGACATGTGCAGAAACCCCGCGGCCGAGGCCGAGGCCTCAAAGAGGCCTGGGGTGGAGCGGTCGCGGACTTGCAGTGGCGCCGGGTGAGCGCCCTCCTCCCCGCGCTCGGCCCGCCGAGCCTTTGCAGGGACCTCGCTCTTGCCGAGCGGAGGCCTCCGGCATGACCGGGGACGGTTGGCCCCGTCGGCGCACGAGGGAGCCGACGCCTGGGAGACCCCGCCACATGCCATGTTGTGGCTCTCGCCCCCGTGCGACCACCGTGCCCGGATCTGCCCGCCTCGTGGGCGCTCGGCGGGCGCCTCGTGCCCTGAAAAGGGCGGGTCCCCCGAGGCGTCGCCGCGGTGCCTGCCCCGGGGGGCGCCCTCCGTGGGGGTGCGCACGGGCGCCTCGCACCCCGGGGTGGGCCCGCCGGGGTGTCGCCGGGTGCCCGCCTGGGGGCGCCCCGTGCCCTGCGTGGGCAGCGCAGCTTGCCCAGGCATGGCTCGCACCGCACAGTGCACACCACGGCTCACACCCACGCGGGGTCCACCGCACAGCGTCCACATCACAGCTTACATCACATCCCTGGCACAGCCTGGTTGGCTCACATCGCATGCCTATAGTACAAGCTGGCCATCACCACATTGCTGATCCCACAGCATAGCTAACACCTCAACCGTAGCTTAGTCCGCAGAGAGCTGCCCCTCCACCGTGCGATACCTCACTGTTTGGGGCTCGCGGTCCACGCTAGCTAGCCTTCTCGTCTGCCTTCTGCTGGTCCGCTTCGGTCCCCTCTGCCGCCGCGGCCTGGGTCCAAGGGGCCAGTGTTGAGCGGATCCCAGCAAGGAGGAAAGCAAAGTTTCTCGTCTGAAGCGAGCGCAAGGAGTCAGGCCACATTTAGGGTTTCGTGGCAGCTGCCCCCGTGCCTACCGCAGCCCGTGGCCGTGGCGCGAATGCCGCACCTCGACCACAGGCGCAAGCGCTCGCCAGCGGCTCTCTCGACACCTCCTGCTGCCCCTGCACGCTGTGGTTGTCCTTGTCCTAGTTCTTCTCGGCCTGGAGGAGGAGGAAGAGGAGGAGGAGGAGGAGGAGGAGGAGGGTGAGAGAGGTTGAGAGGGAGGGAGGCAGGGACTAGCTAGGCTCGCTGGAGATCGTCGAAGGCCTCCCTCTCCGGCCCGCGGGACGGTGCCACAACGCGGGCCTTGGTCAATATATTGCGGAACGCATCGCCCGGGCTGCGTCGGACCCAGTGCTTGCGCCTCGGTCGAGGGATGTGTTGCCATTGTTACCCCGTCCGATCGCATCACAACCCACAACTCGGCATCATGTTTCCTCTTGCTGCGCCGCGGACGTTGCATTGCAGCTGCGGCTGCGTGCAGCGAGACTCTGGGATTGTTGTCTGACCTCTGTATCTGCGGTTGTCGTGTGGCCTGTTCCGTGTAGTGATTGTAATATTCGTTCCTTTGTTCCTTCGACGTCTGGCGGACCCGCGAGGTCACATCAATCAGAACCAGAACCAGATGGGACTTCAGATGGTGTTTCAGCAGCTTGACGCACCACTGCCGAAGGACAGCCTGCAGTGTTGCTCAACCCTGCTCTGCGTGCATCTGCGTCTGCCTCTCTCTCTTTGTCCGAGTGAGGCGGGGTCCGCCTGGAGGATGCTACTACCTCTTTCTGGAACGTCCAGGGATTGCCCGCGCTTGATCTCCGAAGTGACGCGGGCCCATATTTGTTTGCAGGCTGGACTTGGGCAGGACCCAGACCCAGACAGGATGTCAATGTCCTGCCCGAAAAAAACACAATACACTGTGTGATGTGTTTTCCCCCCCCCCCATCAGTGTATGCCGTTTTTTTTCAACGTGTGTGTTTGTTGTGCGTGGCTTGGTGTGTTTGATGTTTTTTGTTGTTTGTTGCATCCGTTATCTAATATCGTTTATCTATCATCTCGCAGCCTCCACTGGCGCGTGCCCCCCTCCTCAGCTCATGAGCGAGGCAGCTCAAGGCCCAAGGCTCTCCCAGAGGACTCTGTCATACCCTGGTCGCCTGGAAGCCGCTCGGCGCCGTCCGACCACGACTGCAGTGCACGGAAGGGCGTGCGAGAGGACTGGGGGAGCAATGGGGTAGGGGCGGGTGATGGGGAGGACGAGGAGGAGGAGGAGGCGGAG